CGGAAGGTCGAGGATTCGATCCCCAGCTTCTGCTGCAACATGTCTGATGTGTCCTTGGGCAAGACACTTAACCCTGAATTGCTCCAGCTGCTTTCTCTGCGTGAATGAATGGGATTAGTTACTTCACTTTATAGCAACCTCTACCATCAGTGTGTGAGTGTGTAGGTGTGACCTGCGGTGTCAAAGCGCTTTGAGAAGTCAGAAGACTAGAAAATAAATATACAAGCTCAATTCCATTTACCATTTGTAACTCTCTAACCCCACTCCCACTCCCACTCCCCTTGACTTAAGTTAATTATTAACAGTATTAATTGATTAACTGCTTCTGAAGTTAAAGGATCAGCAAAGTTACATTTTTTACCTCCAATAGAATGCTATTTGGATTGTCTTTTGGTGAGGATTAATATATATTCAATACCGCTGACATTAAGCAGGTTGTTTTATCCATCCTGAGAAAAACATCACTGGAAACAGTTTTCTTGCGAGCTCCTATCGGCTAGTAAAATATCCAACTCTTCTAAAGTGAGGAACAGGGACAAATAGAAATATGTATCAGCCATTTAGAATTTTAGCATTTAGCCATTTAGCATTGTAGCAATAGTAAAATCAGGATGGAAAATATTTAACTTTTGCAGGATGAAACTTGGAGAGTGGGAGGTGGGAGTCCCCTGGGTTCACACTGGAGGGATGACATACCCTCACTTGGACAGAGCTGACTTTGGATAACCATAAAAGAGCTAAGAAACATTGCTGGGTAGAAGGACGTCTGAAACGAACTTACCACAACTGCAAGAAAAACAGTCCCAAGTACATGGAAGGAAATGGATCGATAAATGGATGGACATTTTACTTTATACTTTTGTCATATTCATAGCTTGGATACGTAGTTTTACCTTTTCTAGAGAAGGAATAGTAACCAGGCTACACCTACTGATGAAGACTTCATGTTACACTTCATACCTCTCTCTTCTGGGTGTTGGGTTGTTTCCTGAAGTTCTGCAAATAAATCAGGCTAATTTCAAACTTCAGCGCCAACATGTTGAAGACAGGAAGTACTGTGAAATAAAGTATGTTGTATTTACAAAATGCTATCAAACCTCATGTCAGCTTGTCATATTGTCTTATATGATCGATGTGCATTTTCAAAGAGCCAACTTGTAACAGCATTAACCTTTTTGTTATTTTGGAAACGTAACTTTCATCTTCAAAGGAACTTTTTATTGGAGTGTTGAAATGTCACTCCCCCTCCTCCATTATTTCTGTTTTACCATCGAGCTGCAACAAAGGTCAGCGTCCCCATGTGAGCCCTACGAATCATTTAATGGAGAATTGCTGAAAAGTTCATTTGAGGGCTCATTTGGGACCCGTGGAGAGATTTTTATGGTGGAAAATTATGAAGTTTCAGCTTGTCAGTGTGAGAAATGTGTCTGAGCACCTCGGGGGAGTACGTTTTTTACTTCCAGGCACAGCTCTCTGCGACAAAGTGGGATATTTTCTACATCGCCTGCAAGTTGATATGAAGCACACTCCACTTCTGTTTCAACTGTGGCACATTGAGTTATTCTCTGCAAATAGTCAATACGAGTCACTTGGAGTTCGCTGAGTCCTCTCCTCTCTAAACAGTAATTTACTTCCACTATGAACAAGTAGCTGTGTTATCGATGCTCCAGCTTAATGTTATGGGCCATTCATGAGTGCTTAGGCTGGGATCCAAAGCCTTATTGTATTCTTTGTATAATGTCTTTATAACAGCAGTTAGCTTCATTAACGTCTGTTTGGGTTCATGCACTTATGAGGAGTAGATAATGTATTCAGTTCTCTAAACAGCTTAGATCATAAATACACTGGAAGGAAAAAAAACTAACATTATGCATACCATGTCATGTTGAGAGGAAGTGCAGCATCCTGTAGTCATGTGATTATTTAACCTCTTAGTGTCAGCAGAAAAGAGCCATTAACGTAACCATATAAAATGACATCATTGAGCCGATACAGCGACTGTGTTGGAAAACAGTGGGTAGCATTCTTGTTTTGTTTTTTCAATAAGCCAAATGTAACTCGAATATCACTCTGTTTTGGTCTCCACCACCTAAGAGAGAAACGTACAGCGCCACCTTTTCTATACACTATGCTCAAGTTAGCTCTGTGCTAATGTCGTTGGGATTTTAGTAACGTTTAACGTGCTTTTGGCGGAAAACAACGTTAAGGAAATAATGGAAAATATTAAACCAAAAGAGTGAGCTGAAAGGTAATAAAACTGTGAGGCTCATTGCAGTGTTTGTCACTCAGTAAGTTAGCATGCATGGTGAAGTCGAGCTACGGTTACAGCTGTCACAGAAATAGATGAATCAAACACAGTGGTGTACAGTAAGAAGGCAAGTACAGATAACTGAAACCTTAACTGACACTGGTAAGGTGTTCACATGCATCAAATATTTAAACCTAAGCTCAGCTTTGGTACTGTACCACATAGGTACAGGTACCTTCTGAACAAACTGGCTGCTGAGGAAACAACAAAGCTGCATTGACTCAAATTACAAATGCTGTTTCTCAAATAGTGTAGAAGCATAAAACATGACGGTGATAATTAATGATATGATAACAGGAAGACCTTTGAACTCTGATGGCTACAAATTGTGTGTTTTTATCTCCACTTTTGTACTTCTAGTTGCAGTATTTTATGATTTACATTTAGGTACTTTACAACATGCCAAAGTAATAAATAAGTTTGATAGAATACCTGTTGAGCTCTGTTTCTCGGCACAGACAGCGATACATTAGTCTTATAAATATCTGAGGAAGTCTAGTCATGACCGTGCTATGAGGGAAGGTAGCACCAAGCTGCCAGCAGGCATTACACTCTTGTTAAAAGAAAAGGGAAGAAAATAAAATGGCTTAGCCTCTGTGGGCTTGGACAGCCTGAAGAAATGGTCCAAAATGAACTCTGTCATGGACAATACCTTCCCAGACGACGCAGGGCACTCGTAGCCTGCAGCTCTTCCCCCTCGAGGTGTAGCAGGGAGCACTTAAAGCTTTCGTTTGTGCCATTGGGCTTCACAATACTTCTGCAGTAATAGCCTCAGTGAAATGAAAAGTGCTGTTAGTTGTTTCTCTTGGCTCTTTCCTACTTTCCTGTTTGGTAGGAAACACCTGCGTCTATAGGGCAGGTTTAGATTGTGGAGCATGCTCAGAGGTTTTGTTTATTTCTGTGCATATATCGTCACACATCCACAGGTTTATAGTTTCTCTTTGGCTCTCCTAATTAATTTACCCGTGATTATTCATTGCATTTCCATGTCTGCTGCTGAGACGCTGCCTTTACTTCACCAATTACTCTGAGTCTTCTTCTCCTTCTTGGATGAGGGAGGAAGTTGTCAAAATTAGTTCAGCTTCTGTCCCAGACCAGGAGATCTCCCAGTTAGGGGCTTGTGTCCATATTTTGTAGGACGCACAGTCTTTAGTCTGTTTGAAGAACTGATTTCAGTATTTGTGTTGTCTTTATTTTAGGAGTGTTCACTGTGATTACAGCCGCTGTAACTTTAATTTCTTGCAAAGGATCAATAAATCACATATGTCTATTTAACCATCTATCTTTCATCAAGCTGTGTTCCTATCAATGTTGATGTTTAAAGCTTCAACGTCTGCTTCAAATCAATCATCCATACCCTCTATAATCCAACTCCATTAAATGGATGAAAGGCAAAAGGCTCCTTCAGATAGAAAGGAGATCTCTGTGTATGTTCTCAGTCATAAGGTCATGGTAAATCCATGCTTGATTCAAGGGCAACTGGACTCAGATAAAGATCTTGAAACCCTGAACTGTACCCTTTCAGATCTTCAAGCACAGAAACCATCGGAGAAAAAGCAGTTGAAAGTGTTGCCGTGCTGTTTTCTCAAAGTGTCTCATTTACATCCGTAGACCATGAAACATTCAGGAAGAGATTTTTAACTCTGTGAATAATTTAAACCTTAAATGATTTACAGTTGCTGCAGAGATTCAATTAAAAAGGCACAAAAAGGAGAGTAATAAAAGCACTCGACATTCCAATGGATTAAAATAGACAAAAAAAACCCACTATTGAAATCTACCCAACCACTCACTCACCTACCTACCTACCTACTCACCTCCTCACCCACTCACTCACCTACCTACCTACCTACCTACCTACCTACCTACCTACTCACCTCCTCACCCACTCACTCACCTACCTACCTACCTACCTACCTACTCACCTCCTCACCCACTCACTCACCTACCTACCTACCTACTCACCTCCTCACCCACTCACTCACCTACCTATCTACCTACCTACCTACCTACCTACTCACCTCCTCACCCACTCACTCACCTACCTACCTACCTACCTACCTACTCACCTCCTCACCTACCTACTCACCCACCCACTCACCTACCTACCTCCCTACCCACCTCCCTACCAACCCACAGAGATATCATGATGTCTTGCTTGCTCTTGTTAATCATTTGTATTTAAGGTGTTTTTCAGTCTGCATGACAACATTATGCATCGTTTAACAACATTGTATAATTACTGAATGTACGAGTGTCATCTGCATGATGAAATGCTTAAATCTGACCTGTTTCTGCCCCACGGTCAGAGGTCTATAATCATGTCAGCAGCAGATCCTCCTGTGGGGGGGGGTTCAGACAGCTCAACATGCACCCCTCTGTCACTTTGAATGCCGCTCCCTCTGTGGCTGTCTCTTGTCTCTCCCGGGCTCTCAGCTCGCAGGCTCTCGGGTGATGATGGGTTTCTCAGATGGAATTAAAATGTCTCGTCCCACAGCTGTCACCCATGCAAATTGCATTGTCTCCAGATTCTATCACTGAGAAGAGCCAGCAGCCGCTTCTGTTCGACGCCTTCTTCCTTTTCATTTTGATGTCATAATGTCATTATCTGGGGCATACTGAGTCTCATGTTCCTGTTTCAGACAGCCATCTTGTAATCTTCCCCTCTTTGTGTGTCTTTATTTCGCTGCAGGTTTACCGGCACTCCTACATGGCCTCCTACACAATCTACAACATTCACACACGGTAAGTGTTTTATATTGTGCTCAGCAGTCGTTGAGAGTCGACCTGTGCGGTGAAAAACTGTTTTCATCAGAGAGAAAAGACAACTGTGAGCCATTTTGGTTTGAAAAACTCCACAACAAAGGAAAGCCAAAGTGAAGATATTGTTGTGACCTTTTTATGCTGCAACAAGCACCAGAAAAACATCATGTCGCTCAGATTTTTTTGTCCTTGCTCCAGCAGACCCATGGGAAGGCTACAGCCACATGTGGAGGGGCCCAGTATGACCACATAACAACTTAAAGCTCATCTGATTTTTGGCTAGTTATGTAACAGACTGAAATAAAACAACAATGTGCAACTTTTCCACCTTTTCCCCATTAGTAGTTTCAAAGTCAATCTAATAGTGAAACAACTTTCAACAGGCATAACAACTTAAAGCTCATCTGAGGAATTTTTGGCTAGTTATGTAACAGACTGAAAATAAAACAACAATGTGCAACTTTTCCACCTTTTCCCCATTAGTAGTTTCAAAGTCAATCTAATAGTGAAACAACTTTCAACAGGGAGAATAACATCTCTCACATGTCCACAGATCGCCCCGGTCACCTGCTCAAAGCACTATGTAGGTTTGGCAGAGGGCCGCGGTTCTCAAAAGAAGTGCGTACAGTTTTATGACACTAGCCAGTTAGCCCTCCTCGATGCTAGTAGACACGGCAGTAGAGGACGTCGATGGATGGAGCTGAGAAGAGAAAGAGAGAGAGTGACGATCAAGAAGCAGAGTGTACATCCCTGCAGATATTATTCAGAACAGATTGCAACCTAACATTAGTCTGTATTATTATCAGTGTCATGTCTCATGTTTTGCAGCTTTACTCGGTGCAGAATGTCATCTAACTCAAGTTGTGTCTCAGGTTTGCATACAAACAATAAAATCCATCTAACGCCAAAGGTTGTCTCTGTATTACTGAACTGTCTTCTCATAACACCGCCCCTCTGCTTGTCAACAAATCCAAGTTGTCTGTGGGGGGGAGGGATGCATGACAGGACTGTGTTGTACGACAGTGCAGTTGAACTCTGAGACCTTCAGTTGGCTCCAAAGCGCACCAGAAAAAATTGTTACATATTGTTGCTCGAATAATGAAATCCCTATTTCAGCGACAAACACAAGACTATCAGCTAGAGATTGATTATTTCTATATTGTTATATGTAATACCTGAAAACACTGCAGCGGTTTAAGTGACATAGCATGCTGCAGAAAAAGTTTTTTTTTTAACTTTTAGCAAAGATTGTCAACGAGTGGTGCACATGACTGTTAAAAAGCATCATTGTAATATACATAAATAAAAAGAAGCCTACTATTACATATAGAGGACAAAATCAACAACAAGTTACAAGTACAACATATCTGCACAACACTGACTCACGTAGAGAAGAGTGTCAGTGGATGTAATACTTTAAGCTACTGAGACACACTTTTCATGCTGGCTTTGACGCTTCTTATTGACAGAGCATCACTTTTTATCTCTCTGCTTTGCTTGTCCTGTACATGTCGAGTATTATTCTGTAACAAAAAATCCTTCAGCTGTCTTTGAACTTTCAAAAGAACCGGCTCACTTTGAGATGTTCATGGCAGAGGTAAAGTGTCTGAGCACCGTAAACATCCTTATCTGACACAGACCTGAGAGGCATAAAAAAATAACTGTATAGAAATCTTCTGGCTGTAGTCTGGTTAGCTTTTTTAAGCATCAGTATTTATTTCAGTCTGTTTCATAAGCAGCTAAAAAGTCTCCGGCTAGTTCTTAATCTGGAGGAAAATGTAATTTAAGTCCTTGATTAAATTATACAGAACAGACCTGTCCGTCAGCTTACATTAGAAAGTCTTTTGCGGATTGGACGGAGGAGTTTGCCAATGGAAAGATAATTATGAGTTCTGTTTCGATAAAGGCGGCTCAAACTTCAGTCAGTAGCTTCCTGGGAATGAAGAAACAATCTCTGTCCCAGGTGCTGATCTCAGATGTGCAGGGAGGGTAGATTTCCACCAAGCCTGTCGGTCAGCATGATGGGCAGGATCCTCACTTTAAATTGGAGAAGATTTAAATTTGATGGATGGTCAAATTAGCCTCTTCAAACAGGAGTTTTACATAAGAAGCTTTGGCATGGATTCCTTTGAGATTGAAGCTATTTTGGGAGGCAATACTCTGGAGTTTTCTCTTTTTCTTTGTCATCTCTCGGCTGAAACTAGACTGTTAGTCTGTCGCCAACTAGTGCCCACATAACTTATGTTTTGTTATTGATTAGATCGGGAAAAAAAATGGACACATAGCATGTTGAAACAGGGAAACACTGCTTGAGAAAATCAGTTTTTTGAATGAATATTGCTTTAAGAGGCGACGCCTGCGAGCTAGTTCAGGCAGTCAACTTGAGCAGCAGTGATTTCACATTCTCGACAATCACCAGACAACACCTCCTTGCAATTATCGGTCTATTTAAGCTGCAAGATGTCCAGTCTCTCCGTCTGCTCTTTCATTACCAGCTCTGACCTGCACCAGTACTGCACTCTCGCTCAGCCCCACCATGCACCAGCCCAGCATTCACCTGTACGCTCCGAGTGGAGGGTTTAAGATATCATCTCATCACTGCTCAAATATCTGCATATTTAATACAAACTGTGAGGCGTGATGAGGTTGGAGCCTAGACTCCAAACCTGCTGCAATACATATATTAAATGATACAAGCATGAGTTGTCTGACTGACGTGTTTTACAATGGATCAAAGTTTATTGGGCCACTTTGGCGCATTTTCCGAATGGACCTGAAATGTGTACAAGACTTGTTTACCTGTTGATGTCATCCAAGATTTATCATTAATTTATCATTAATTTGAACTTGTGCAATTGTATCTTTCATGTGAAAATATATGTTTGTATGACTGTTAGACGATAACATAGTTAAAGTGATGGAAGCGGTTCATTACCATAAGATAAACTAAGGAGTAAGTTTTGGGCTCTGCAATGAATTCAATGCATTCATTTCCTGTTCAGGAAAAACACTTTGGATTTATGCCCTTTTAATGTTTTTCCAATGTTAACGATTCTACCAAAAATGTAACAAAGGAGCTGCAAAACTGTAATCTATTCAACATGCGAGCCAATGACCACCTCCAATGCACGCTCTCCGTGATGAATTGCTTGTTGTCTGTTTTTTTTTTTTCAGGGAGGTTTGGGAGCTGGACCCACCTGAGGTGGTGAACTCGGTCCTGCAATACGCTGCCTGGGGAGTTCAAGGACAACAACTGGTGAGAGAAAGGAGGAGAAACATTACTCTGCTGCATCCAGCCTTACTGTACATAACTTTCTCTGCATCAGGGTTTTAGGATAAGTGAAGAATCATTACAGACATTCACTGTATGTGTTTTTTTTATTTGGGCCTCATATCTGCTGCAGCTCACAGTAATTACAGTATTTATTTTCTTCTCCAGATAAATCAAATTATAATGAAAACAGATTTTCATTTTCAGTTTTTTAAATGTTCATTTGATGTGTGAAGTACAAAGTGCATGTCTGCTTGTAGCGTTTTTTGAGACGTGTGTTTGTGTGTATGTGAAGGTGTGTTTGTGTAGTTTAGCTGTGGGACACAATAAAAAAAAATGTGTACGTGTATATAAATGCATATCCAAAACACTGCAAAAAAAAAAGAAACAACACCAATGCAGCAAACTCCAAAAAGAATGCAACAACCACCAAAATCCAATGCAACAACCCCAAAAACCATTGGAAAAAGCCACAAAACGTTTGCAAAAAAAAACACAAAATCAATGCAGTAAGCCACAAAACCATTGAGACTTTTTGCAAAGTGTTACACCCCTCATCAACATAAATGTGTCTCGTATTCAGATTTCATGTGTTGAAGTTTAATTTCTGTGGACACTTATTAGATAGAAATCGCTCTCTTCATACCTTTTTCATTTATCCATGAAACAACATTTTTTGTTGGAAGTAAAGAGCTTAAGCACAGTATAACTGCTTTGTTTGTATTTAGCAATTTTCAGTGTTTAATATTTGGCCATAAATCAAACACAGCTTCATTGGTGTGTCATTATATTGATAAGGAGATGAGAGCTTGCTCTCCAGTTTGCACAGCATCATTAGCTAAAAGTGCATCTTTGCAGACAATGACTCGTGCGTGTGTGTGTGTGTGTGTGTGTGTGTGTGTGTGTGTGTGTGTGTGTGTGTGTGTGTGTGTGTGTGTGTGTGTGTGTGTGTGTGTGTGTGTGTGTGTGTGTGTGTGTGTGTGTGTGTAAGCGAGCTTCATAGCAATTTGTCTGGAATTTGTGTATTCTCATTAGAAAGCTGCCAGAAAATTAGGTTAACAATATAAAAGAGGTGCTGTCAGCTCGTCATGTCTGGAGCGATGCATGGGTCACACAAAGCAGCATTAAACAGCACAAGATTAGCAGCCTGATCACGTCTCTCCTGTTTACAAAGTTTGCTCATTAGGTGTTGTAAGGCTGGCTTTAATAACATTATTATTTACTCTACATTAGGGTCTTTGATAAGTCTGACACTGACAAGTATTTGGTATTACAGAGCAGAGTCCTTCTACAGAGGATGTGTGTTTCAATTAGTATTCTTTTTTTATTTTAATATATCCTGAAACTGCAGAGTGTTAGCTTTCAAAAGAGACCTTATTCTAATCATGCGTGTAGCCACACCCCACGGCAGTGTTTTCAGGCATTAAAATCTACTGTGAAGAAGTAGTTCATCTTGGGGTGCCAACAGCCTAGAAGTTAGTGTGCCTGCCCCATGAACGGAGACTGTGGCCCTTGAAGAAGGCGGCCTGTTTTAAAAAGCATTACATCCTTCAGGTATGCCTGGATATGGAAATTTAACAGGATCTTTGGATGTTAAAACCATCGAACTGTAGTTACAAAAAATCATTCCTAGAGATGGAAACACATGAAACTTTATTAATCCTTTTGCCTGGATCTCTAAAACATTTCCAGCTACTATCATCTGTTCAAACCTGCAGCAATAGGTTCTCTAATATCTGATTAAAGAAACTCTTCAGCTGAACAAACACATTCTCTCATTTCAGAAGAGAACTGTGTTCTCACAGAGTCTGTAGTTAAACACTGATTTATCTTTATCCTTCAGCTCATGTTCAGCCTTTCCTTCTGCACTGATGATATCTTGATCCTCTCAGTCAGACAGCAGAGACCCCGCTGACTGAGCAGAGCGCAGGCACAGACACTCTGGGAATAATTTTTTTAACAGTATCACATAAGGACACAGACATCCTCTTTCTGGAAAGGCCATAGATTCAGTTTCCATCAGAGAGAGACTTTATTCTGAGTAATGTTGAGAGGTGCACTTTATGTTTGTTTGACCTGAGCTGGGTTTATATCTTCTGAAATGTGTCAGTGAGGTTCACTATTGTTTTTACAAAGGGAAATGTAGGCAGTGCTGTGTGTAAGATATAGAGCTTATTTTACAGAGTACCTACTATCTAAATCCTTCCAGATGACTGTGAACAGAATCACTTATGTTGTGCTCAAAACAACTCTCATTCACAGTAGATTAGCAGCAAAGATACATCCAGACGTACGTTTTTGAAACATGAATAAGTAGGCCATCGACACTGCCTTATAACTTTAATACTATGAGAACAAGAACTGACTGAATGCTTGAGAAGATGTAACGCCTATTTGATACAATCGTTGTAAACTGATTTGAAATCTGAAAAATACTTGAAAACTTTACAGCCGCTCTCAGGTCTTCCTCTTGCAGATTTTTTTCTCACCAGACGATGTAACATTTCGGTAAAGACAGTGTGTTTGTTTGTTTGTTTTCTCTACAGATCTACATCTTTGAAAATAACATCTACTACCAATCCGATGTGAAGAGTAACTCCCTCAGGCTGACGTCTTCAGGGAAGGAAGGGATCATCTTCAACGGGATAGCAGACTGGCTCTATGAAGGTACAACAGCCCGCTCTCACGCAAACAATGAAACAATGAGTGTGTTTACATGGATTTGGGTATCCAGTTATGAGCCCTCTCCTTGTTGTGATCAAATTTGGGGTATGACGTTTTTATGCATACAGAGAAACCTGGTCAGTCACGTCCCTACACCTGCGCAGGTCATCGTATAGATCAGGGATGGGCAACTTTGGTCACAGCAAGGGCCACATTCATTTAATTCTCACTGCCAGAGGGCCATATTGTAGCATACAAAAACGATTACAGTCAATTTTGTCTCAAATTTAACTCAACATATACCAGTGATCAAATATTATTATGGACATATTTCTGGTTTTCATGATTTCATGGCAGATTTGGTCATGTTTTCTTCATGTTTCCAATTAATTGATATGTAAAAATTGACCCGAGGGCCATGTTGAGTGTTGATGGGGGCCGCCAGTTGCCCACCCCTGGTATAGATGCTACAGTATCATGTTTTCTTGAGCTCTCAGGATAGCAAATTTGGGGTTTCTCAAAATCTGGATAAAGGCTTATCCTGTTTATTTTTTATTTTTTTAAAGGAGATCTGATATTTACGTGCACAAAAACAGGATACTCTAAAAACCTGATGAAATACAGGATACAAAGTCAAGTAAATACACTCACTGTAAGAGAGTTGAAGCGGTTGACTTGTTGATGAACTCTGCTGCCACAGTGGGTTTTGAATATTGGGAACATATTAATGATGGTATCTCATTTGGGTTTCAAGTGTGAACAGATTGTGTCTCATCAGCTGTAAATGTTTCTTTTGAGGAACATAACTTAATAAAACTTGTAGTTAAAAATGTATCATATTTTCACTTGCACACAGACTGTATCTCCCAACTGGGAGCATTGGGAGTCATTTGAAGTGCTTTAAGTTAACACACACACACACACACACACACACACACACACACACACTGCAGCACTTTTTATAAGGAGAAAAATAGATTATGTTATAATGTTATGAAAAGCCAAGCTACTGAAATAAGTGTGCTTCAGTTTTATTTCCCCCCTTTTGTTCTTATTTCGTAGTTCAATAATGTAGCAGACAGTAATGGTTGAACCCAGAGCATGGATTTAATACAATGTCTTAATCTTTTCTTTCCACTGTTTGGCTCTTTGTCTTTGTATGAAGAATGTATTCGTAGGGAACTTTAACGACTTAAAAGGCTCCAGTTTTTATGAATTGAAAATTAGGACACATTTCAACATTTATTAACACTTTTCATTCAATAATATAACATAGTGACATATATTTGAAGGGAATTGGAGGATTAACAGAGATGGTTAACTCTTCCAAACAGAGGAGATCCTTCAGACCCATGTGGCTCACTGGTGGTCACCTGACGGAGAACGGCTGGCCTTCCTGGTCCTCAATGACAGTCTGGTTCCCAACATGGCTTTACCTCGCTTCACTGGCATGACATACCCCAAAGGAAAGCAGTATCCATACCCCAAGGTAAGAAATAAGACGTGCAGGCCACACAATCCCTTCACAGCTTTTACACTGAAAATATGAGCATTAGTTCTGCTTCCAAGTAGGGGTGTCCAGGACAAATGATTTACACGGTGGAACCTGATCCGTCAGGTTTTACCTGATCGTCGAATGTCTCATTGATTCACATTCTCATTTGCAATACACGAGATAAACCACGTAGTTGAAATATTTGTCTTCTGGACTTGGAATAACAGTTCATTTTTTGATATGACTCTATCCATCCTTTTTCTTATTCATTAAGGGCCAGATTTACTAAGCTCCCAATTAAAGAGTACTAAATTGCGTGTTCACTCCAAAAGTTTGCACGTTTGGTTGGTGGGCGTTTTGCGGGCGATCTACTAAGAAAATTTGCGTGAATGACAACAGGTGCAATCCTTGTGGAGGCGGTACTATTTAAGTTAGACTTTTGCCTGTTCTCCTGGTTTACATCACACATCTTGAGAATGAAGTGTCATACATTGCGCAGGAGGTGCGAGCTGTGTCCTCTGTGGCACGGGCGCTCTACACTCGCCGTTGTTGCACACCAGACAGCTGGTCAGCGTTGTGTCTGATCGGACATAAAATGCCCTGGAAAGAGGTATTGAAGACGGGGTACAAACAGTGGTGAGGTCCCCCAATCAAAGCGTCCTACAGAGTAGCAGCAGCAGGCTCTAGAGGGAGGTGACGCGCGCATTATGGAGAAGAGCGCACCGGAGGGCACGAGCAATTTAAAATATAGTGTTGGCAAAAAGAGGGAAATAGGAAGACATAAATGTCAATGTTGAAATTCTATAGAATTCAGAGGCTGTGAATGTTCAGTTTTCTTTGGCTGTAGGCTATGGCAACAATAGCCATGTAGTTTAATCATGGTGTTTCTCTTCCTTAACGATTAGAATATTGAATTAATGTGGGGAAAAACGCAATCTGTATTCCTTCTTTGATGTCTCCTCCTAACTACAATAACAGTAGCCTGTTGTGCGTAACGCTGGTCTCCTGGGTTAGCACGTTTTGTTCAAAGGTGTTAAATACGGACACTGTCACAATCACAGCAATTTTTGTCAGGCTTGGTAAATCGCAATGCGTCTACTAACTTAACTTGTTTGCATTTTCTCCTCCCAGTATTTTTGCACGTTAGGGCAGAAACGCCCCATATTTCATATTCATTAAGGCAAACATTCTAAATGGTCAATGCGTGTTGTTTTGCTCATTTGAGATGCAATACTCACTGCGCGCCGTTAGTAGATCAGATAGCACTTTTTTTGCTTGTGGTATCAAGTTTGCACACGCAAACCTTTAGTAAATCTGGCCCTAAGTCTACCTTATGTCGACTGATTTTACACATGCTTATACAGTCATACTGATGGCCTGCTTAAAGGAACTGTGTGTGTGTGGATCTAAACCACCAGAGCAGCCACAATCTAAGCATCTGTCAGACCACCGGCAAAGAAACAACAATTTTTACTGTAGTTTCACTTAACATTTGTAGATTCGCTGAAGTCTCCTGATTCTGATATTCCAACAAATAAGGTCTTGCATTGTTAAGTTTCCCCACGATCCAAATTGAAACACATTATATCCGTAATGTTCCACGGATTGCTTCAAAATTTCCACTGCTGTATTTTCTGTAATAATTCATTTTTAGGAATTATTTTGTACACTATGCTACTTAAAAAAATTGTCCGCCCTCTGACCTTTCGATGGACAACTCATTTAGCCAAAAGTCAGGACCTTCCAGTTCCCGGCCTCTAATAGCCAATGAGAGCCTGAGTTAAACCTACCTGCTAATGTTCTGATGTATCTATACTTGGCCAATTGCAATCACATTAAAACATTTATATATATATATATATATATATATATATATATATATATATATATATATTTGGAGAAAAGAGGCAGCTCTTTGTCAAATTAGACATTGTGCACCCTTGTATAACAGGAAGAGAAGGATCCTTGTATTGCATTGAGGCTCTTTCTGAATGAAGCGTTGAAGATTGGACTATTTGGGGCCATCCCTACTTCAAAGTAAATAATTTACAATGTCAAAAAAAAAAAACGTTTGCAGACACTCAACTGAATCCCCTAAAACCACAGGTAGACAGTAGAAGAGACAGGGAACAAGTTTCCCCAGTCGTAGCAGCATCACCTGAACATAACAGAATGCAACACACCCCAGTGATCACACACATAACCCAGATTACACAAAGCACTTGGCTTGCTTCAATACCCCCCCCTTTGATTGAACGCAGCACCTGTTCTCTCGATAGAGCTTCCTATAGGCTCCATCTGTGGGAGGGAGTCATCAGAGGCTCTTTTCTAAAGCAGGAAATCAAAGTAGAACGTGGCGTAACAGGTGGAGGGAAACCAAAGAAAGTTATTACTCAAAATCCAAAATGAACTTGTTGAATTATTAAACTTCATACAACACTGTGTACCCTTGTGTTGTAATGTGTGAGGGAAGGTTTCTCATGGATTTGTCTGCAGAACATTATTCAAATGAGAGCAATGACACGGTGCAAATACTCGCTCTATGATTGCAATTGTTTCAGTCAAGTGTTTTTCTCCAGTGCAATGTGTTTAATCAGTCATCCCTCTCATGTTTGTCGCTCCGTTTGTCCTAATAATTTCTGCACAACAACAAATGTCTAACTGGATGTATATTTCTAAGAGTTTGAAGAGCCATTTAAACTCTTCCATGCATTATTCATTGAAAAATCACTCCAGCGGTATGCAACATTTGCCTTTGTGGATGTCGTTTCATAAAACATTCCTCCCACTGCAGTGATTTGAGACTCTGTGGTCTAAAGTCCTGACCTGTTGTTTTAACATGCAGGCAGGCCAACCCAACCCGGTGGTGAAGCTCTTTGTGGTTAATCTTTACGGGCCGACGCACACGCTGGAGCTAATGCCTCCAGAGACGCTCAAACTACGGTGAGAAGTGCTGCATCTTGTTTGTCTTAAAAATAGCTTTTTCCACTTCATCATTTTTGTCTCTCTTGGCATACTGCACCTTTAATTGGAAAATCTTGTACACTTCAGCTTGTTGTGTCCTTGCTCTGCATTTTCTTTGTCTTTTACTTCCTAAAAAAGAGAACTAAAAAAATGACTAACATATTCCGCCCTGCATGGGTCTGTTGAGACTGTCAGTATTTATTCATTCAGTAATGTCTTAATGAATGCAGCTGCACTCTAATCACATTGTTGACATTGTGTTATAGTTGTATGCAATGCAATGCACTGTATGCAATGTCAAGGCTCTTGGCATCACATGCAGTGCATACTTTATCTACAATCCAGGACTATGCATACTAATCAGTACTTTGAAATATTTCAATGTGCCATATTGGATGTTGCATAGACTGTGTATAAGAAGTTGTTTTTACAAGTTAGGCCGATGCTGAATTGCCTTCAAATCTGCACTCTTTTTTGATGACCCTACTTCTTAGTAATTATCATCCAATAACGTTCTGCTCAATGAGTAACGGTACTCGTCAGTTTAGCTACCACTCACCACACCAAAACTCGCACAACCAAAACACACACACACACACACACACACACACACACACACACACACACACACACGGTCCCACCTTCCAAATATGGTCAATTCTTGCTTCATAAAACAAGATGGCGACTGTCAAGGTGCCAAATTTGAGGCTTCAGAAAAGTTGTCCGTGGAGGCTTCCTACATATCGTCAACAGAAACAGTCTACCTCACACTGTTTTTGCGAAACAATTTTTTTTTTTTGCACATACAGTTTCAGGAGGTTGACTTTAAAGTAACTTGGTAGAATAGCTGTGAAAATTAAGCTGCATCCTCCATCAAGTTACTGTCTGTATCTCAAGCTTGCATGTATCATGATAAATCTGCAATAAAAATCTGTTATCATTGGCAAGGTGTGCATATTATTAAAGAACATGAACTGGTTGCTATAACAACGATGTTTTTCACAGGGAACATTATGTGACCATGGTGAAGTGGATCAGCAAGACCAAGACAGCTGTCAGGTGGTTGAACCGAGCCCAGAACATCTCCTTCCTGACGGTGTGCGACACCACCACGGGAGCCTGCGTCACGGTGTGTGTTTGTGTGTGAGACAGAAAAAGAGTGTCCATTTGTGAGGAAGAAGAAGCCTGGAGATTTAAAACCTTTCACTTTTTTTACAGAAGCAAAGTGCCGTCTTATCTGGGAATCTATTGGCTAACAAATGCGTAGCCTATAAAGTGAAATTTTTAGTACCTGCGTAATTCTCCACATTAATGACATTTAAGGATAAGTGCTTTTTGAAAACGTAAGTGGAGAGCTTTTTGGCAAAGGTACACATTTGATCGAGCCAAACTGTTCTGTATGGATTAAACCTCCTTTCACTTTCAATGTAACACCATGTTTTTTGTTCCCTGTACTTTCGTTTCTATTCCTTCAAGTGCACACTAGTCATTTGAAATAAGGTCCCTCTTTAAACTCTTTGTTGCTGTGCGCTGGAGAGCATCTAAGTTAGCATGGCAGCACACTGTTGACAAGAGTACAGGTACCTAAAATACCTTTGAGAGACACTCATTAAGCTTTTCAACAGACATGCAGCCATAGGTGAGACACAAATGTTTAGAACCATAGCAATTGAAAATGTTGAAATGTCTTTAATGATCATAAATATATCAAACGTTTTTGTTTCATGCAATGCTATGCTGAAATCCGACTTCAAGATGAGTTGTACAACTCAAAAATCAGGCTTTAATCGGCAGTAGTTCTCAACTGCAGCCTAATGACCCAGTACCAACTCCTTCAGGAAAAATCACAGCCCTGAAAACATCAAACTCATCATGAAAACAGACTAAAATAAAATGTATGGGTGTGCACTTTGTCTGTTTATGGCATCTGTAGTAGTCAACAAAAAGCTCTTTTTGTAGCTGTGGAATTAATATTTAATTGGGTTGACTAAATCATTACACATCTGCTGGTGTACCCTCCCTCCATATTCTCATCATATTTGGATGACAGTCAGCCATGTTAACCCTGCAGTTAAACCTGCTCTCCACTAATCTGGTTCCTGATTTGGTGTGATTTGCACCAAGCAGCGGCTCAGCTCAGGTCTGGACATGTCGCCCAGTCTTGCCTTCCTGCCAAAGTTAATGCATGCTGGTTTGAAACGAAGACTCGGACTGGGAGTGGTGTCCCTGGTGGAGTGTTAAAATAAACCAGAGAGTTAATTTTATGATTGATGATTCTGTCTGGAAAAAAAAAAATCTATATTACCTACCTTATAATAATAATAAGTGTTATTCCAAAATACGGTTCAGACACATTTTAGATAACAAATTCTATCATACAACATCTTAAATACTGCTCATGACTACTTAAAAACATCCATATTTTGAATAAAACTCAAATACAGCAGCAACAATGACAGGCTGTAAAGTTTAAAGGAGTTTGATGATGGGGGTGATTTGGCGTCAGTCTGATATTTTGCTCTGACATCTGTTTCAGAGACATGAAGAAAGCTCAGAGCTCTGGCTCTCCAAGCAGGTAAGTCGCTCTCTGTTCTGTGTCTTTTCTTTATTGAAGCATGTGAGCCTGACCTGTAATTCCTCTCCATGTCAATCATCGCTGTCTCCGTACATTTCCCATTATGTGACCTTAAGGGCAGCTTCACCAATTTCCCACCTCATCCGCACACTTTCCCAACACACATTATTTCTCTATATGCTCTGTCTCCTAAAGGGAGGCTTCATTCTTCTCTCAAATCCTGCACCAGAAGATGCAAACATAGGATAAGCAGCAGTATGAAGGGCTCGTGTTTGCTCGCTGAGTCGTTCTCCTCAGAAAATGAAATTATATAACTCTGAAAGCAGGGAACTGTGACTTCATATTGTAGGACTTTAGGCAAAGACTCAAGCCTTCCTTCAGAAACAGAGAGAATAAAAAAAGTGCATTGGATGTGTGACAATTTTAAAACGCAAGAATCAAAGCAAGTCATCATCATCTTATTCTACTTCTTTTTTTTCTTATTTTATTTGTGAAATAGCAACTGGTTTAAGATTATTACAAAAAAAGTGTCGCACTCCAATCCATCATGTCTTTAAATAACCTTTTTCCATAATTTGAATTTAATTAACTTACTTCGCGGTACAGGTGGACAAGTGGTTAGTTCGACGGCCCATGTACAGAGGCTGTAGTCCCCAAAGCGGGCGATCCCGGGTTTCAAATCTGACCTGTGGCTCCTTTACTGCATGTCACTCCCCACTCTCTCTCACTTCCCCCTCTATCCACTGCCTGTCTCCCGATTAAAGGCATCAAAATGAATCTTAAAATAAACACATAATTAAAAGAAATGAACATAGTTCTTCTTGTCGATGCTTTCATGCTTCTCGGCTCTCACATTAAATGTAAAGACCACCATCTGCACAAATGTCATGATCACACTTTTCACAAAGGGACAAGGATTGTTCGGGCCAGACTGAACTTTTGACCAGTATGAGGACCCTCTCCTGCTACTCATTGTGCACTCTTTTTTTGCCATTATTAATGATTTGTGATGCAAGTTTAAGTTCATAAGAATGCTAATTAAGATGAAGTGAATGATTTATTAAATTAATCAAGAAGACATCAATGAAGTTTGCAGCATTGTAGTAGAAATGTTCAGAAACCTTTCTGTCCAATGCTTCTAGTCAGGATTGATTTATGCAGAGCTGATGTATTATACTGTTCCTTATGTGATCATCACCCTCTGTGTTTGTGCAGATCATTCAGCAGCATGTTGGACTGAAAAAATATCTCAAACTCAATATTTTGTTCCAAAAACAGAAAGTGCAGTGCACTCAGCTTTAGGCGTTTTATTTACTTGTAGAGTTGGGAGGCAGGGATAGAGGCAGAGGCTTTCTCGTAGGGTTGGAGGATATTTGGCTTCTGCCGTTGGTAATTTAACCACTTGACAAACTTGGCATGCAGAGCTACTTGTCTCCGCTAAGATGGTAATCTAAGAAATGCTCATTTACTGACAGTGAGGTTGTGTCAGTGTAGAGAGAGGGTCTTTGCTCACAGATTTTTATGCAGGAAGACCTTAAGATATCTCCACTTTCTTGGAAATGTCGACGGCTCATTGTGTGTAAACTTTCTCAAGATGAGGCTGAATGTGTTTGTGCTGCAGGCTGAGATATTATTTCACTGTTGTTTTCCTTGCAGATTTGAACCAGTCAAAATGCAAAACCACTGTTTAGTATCGTGACACTACATATGATATAATGGATGATAAAAATAATTAGAGACAGCACTCCACTTCTTTTACAGCAGCACAGTTCAACTGGACTTAATAAATGTTTTCTTTCTTCAGACCCAAGAACCGGTGTTCTCCAAAGACAGCAGCAGATTCTTCCTGACCGTGCCAGTCAAACAGGGAGGACGTGGAGAGTTTCATCACATCGCCATGTTCACAACACAGGTGAAGGTTAAGTTTGAAATCCACGTTACTTTAGTGATATCTCTGAAAGGAAGACAAATACAGGATATTTACAAGACAACTGAAACCATTACAAAACTACAAGTAGAGTGCCATTAAAAAAAGTTTGACCATCCTGGTTATTTCTTTGGGGAAGGATTTTATTTTAAACTTTGGCTGTTAATTTTTGTGTGTTTTCTAATCATAATTTGTTGAAGGTGATTTGATAGTTAAAATTGCCTTTTATTACGTTTTCACACCCAGTCTGTTTGGTTTGGTTAAAGTGTTCGTTACAAGTTATTAGGGTTTGTTTGTGCTGGTGTGAAAGCTGTCAATCAAACCCTAGTGCGGTCTGAGCAACTGCACAGAGACCACTTGAAAAGATTTGAAAAGGTGGGTCTTGGACAGCTTTTTTTCAGACTCTGGTGCAGTTCGTTTGTAGCAACAACATGAACCAACACGATCCGACCTAACTGCAGGAAGTAACCACCGTGAGCCCTCTCTATTCATATGACCATGTGGTAAAGACCACTGTCAGATCTTCAGAAAACATTTCAGTGGACGAGCAGGTCATAGTTCAGGAGGAATCCTGAACTGTCTTGAAAATTGTCATCGTCTACTCCAGTACATCAACATATTATTTTTTCGCCTCAGTTCTGCTCATTTTCAAACTACATTGTTTGCCAATATTCAAAATACAAACTGGGAAACAGACCCAACATCACTCCATGTAGTTGTTTGTCCATTAAGACATTGTGAAGTGTCTTTGTTGCAGACACAGCCAGGCAGGAGTCAACTAGTCTTTGTTTAGTTCCTGAATGTTTCCTACAAGAAATTCCGAACCAATTAAAGAGCATTTGGTCCGCTTGTAAATGTGTGAATACAAACTAAACTTGAGGTGATTATGCAACAAAGTAACAAACTGGCCCATGATTCAGACCAGAGCAAACAAACCATAGGAGTCAAAAAGCTCTTAAAATCAAGCCACCAACTTGCGACAAGAGGAAATAAATAGTCTGATGCAGTTTGGTTTGAACAATTGGTTCGCTGTTGTTTTCTCTTGAGGAACGACTTTCAGAATCTGAAGGTTTATTTTCACACTGTTTGCCTAAATATCCATCCAGCGAGTTTAAGTGATTTACAGTCTATGTTAATTTGACCCAAACAGCCCGTGAATCGTCTGGCACCATAGCAACAATCTTGTGTTTTTGTTTCTGTGTCTAGTTTGCGGTTGAGTGTGTTTTGTGAAGCAGCTCAGACTCCTTGCTGCAGTTTGTTCTGATTCATAACGCCTCAGGATAAGCAGACATTGTTTCTCAATTGGAATCATTACTTGTCTTTTGCATTGCCTGTTCTGATTTTTTATTCATTGTGAGTTTTTCTGGAGTATAACACAGAAGTGCTCCTCCAGCCTCTGACAGGCAAGTGTCGGGATTCATGCACAGGATCAAAGGAGATGAGGAGCCGGATGGAGCCAGCAGAGTTAAGATGAATGACCAACACTCATCTTCTTTTGTTTCTCTCAGTTCAGAGCAGATCAGAATGAAGTCCGACATCTGACATCAGGGAACTGGGAAGTGACCAAGATCATCGCTTACGACGAAAACACTGACAACCTGTAAGTCTGACTGTTTTATGTAATCTAATAAATGTCTCAATAAGGAGATTTATGACGCTGATCCTTATTCAAATACATACATAAAATGTCAGGATGTTGGATGTCCATACCAAACCTCAGCAAAGTTTTTTAAACTCAAGATACACAGTTGTGTTGGTGAAATCCCTGGACGTGTTTTCCTGTTGCTCTGAACGAGATCTTACGAGAACTTAGTGAGACTTGGACAGCATAAATCAAGCATGGAGAAAAGTTCTAGGACATGCCCACCCAAAAGCTCACTCAAATTCCCCTGCGACTGCAAGCAGATCTGGCCAATCAGAAGAAAGAGGGCACATGTGGAGGGGGGGGCCTTAAAGAGACAGCAGCTGATATTAAGTCGTTTAAGGCAGAGACTGAAATGAAGGATTTTACTGACGCTATTATCAGATAAATAAGGAGGTTTTTGAGCTAGAAATTTGGGGTTAAGTGTCTTGCCCAATCGGACATAGCTACGTAGCTACATTAGCTGGGGATCGAGCCTCCAACCTTCCGGTTAAGAGAGGACTGACTCTACCAACTGAGCCACAGCCGCCACGTGCAGTTTTGGCTTCCTGTGAAGGCTCCCCAAGTCACTGTGTTTGCAGTCTGCAGTCCTGGGAACCATTGTTGCATTCCATATTTACCTACTGCGTACCTAGGATGTTGATCGTTAGCAAAAGTAAAGATCAGCCACAAGTTTGTCCAATGGACCCAATAATCCCAGTGTACACACTAGAGGGTGCAGTTAGCTAATTGTATGTATGACTTCCACTTAAAAAAGAGACTTGATGAAGCTGAGTGTTTAACTGCGCACACATCACATTGCTCTTATTTTCTTGCTTCAGATATTTTCTGAGCACAGAGGGTTCACCGAGACGAAGACAACTTTACAGGTTTGTATTGATTCTTCAATTGCTGCAGGTGTGCAATCACTCTGGTTAACACAATTTACTCCTCCTTATGTAGAGAGCACAAGAAACCAGGGACATTTGTGTGTAACAAAGAGCATATAACTTTAAAATGATTAGAATAATTGTCTCCGAATCAATGAATCATTTTCCTGTCAGTTGACGATTTAACATTCAGGGGTCTCATTTATAAGAGTGCGTAGAATCCATACTAAAAATGTACGTGCGCCAAAAACCCGAAATGGCATGCGCACAAAATGATTCAGCTTTATAAAACTGTTCGTAAGCACACCTGCACACAATGTTCCCTTTATAAATCACAATCCACCTGGAAATGTGCGCACGTAGATTAGTCCCATGTTCCGCCCTCTACACGCCCACAATCAACCATAAACGGTCAATGCAAAGCAGCTCGTGAATGAAAATGCATACAAACGAGGGGGCAGATCAAAGGTTTCCAGCGCTGGATCGCAGCAAAACCCAGAAGTTTAGACAAAGAAACAAAACTTTCTGACCCAGAAACGGAGGAGTTTGTGAATGAAGTGAAGAATAAAATGGACATATCGGTAGTTTACTACAGCAGGAGGACCTCAAACTTAAAGGTCCCATATTATGCTTTTTCTAGTTTTATATGCCCTTTAGTGTGTTTTCCAAGTGTCCTGTGCATGTTTAGGCACATCTATGTGCAAAAATTCAAAGTCTGCGGAAACGCGGCTTCTCCTACATCCTCCTGTTAGCTGTAGCATTAGCTGCATGTAACGCTCGGTTCTAGCCCCCCTCGATAAAAATGTGTCAGTCCGACGTCATTGTGGACCACAGTGTTGTGGCTAGCCCTGCAGCTCATGTCGAAATTTCTGAGATGCGTGCTGAGCAACTGACCAATAACAACACAGTGGATCGGCAGACCAATCAGACATCAACAGTCTGGGCTCAGCAAAGCGTAGCTGACGGACTCAGAGCGTAGAGGGAGCAAGGAGGAGCAGTGCATGAAAACAGACACTTTTTTCGGACTTTAGCTATTGTGAACATACAAAAGTAGGTACATAGATTAAATATACAAACCCCAAAAAGGGCATAATATGGGCTCTTTAACCAAAATCAGAGAAAGACTTTCGTCGCTGCTGCATTCACCCTGTCTTATGTGCCAAAACATCCACCGTTCATCATTACGCACGAGTATATCTGCAATGTTTACCAGTTTGCAGGACCCACACTGACTTCTTCATATTGTCAGAGTGCTCACGTCAGTCAGCAGTCTGCCTCACTCTATCATAATAGTAATCAAATTGATTGTTGGCCACATTTTTTCGTGGGAAACTTTGTCTGCTCTGTGAATAATTGAGGATATATAGACCTAATGATCCTGTCAGAGATGCCCCGACTTAATGTCCACACTTGAATTAGTTACAGAATAAATATGTGCAGTTTATTAAAGCATGCTGAGTCACGAGAAGGCATAATGTGTGAAGCCACCGCCGTGTCTCTGTGAGCTCTGTGCGTCATGACGCAGTCATCTTTATTAAAACTAAAAACCACACTTGATGATAAATGCACAATACTGAAAGATATTAATGAAAACTGATGGCTCTATGGTCTCTGTGTTAGTCTAATGTTTAACTCTACATCAATGATTACATCAATAAAGATAATGAAGGCGAGACGGCGCTGATGAAATGTGTATGGGGCGGACTTTTATTTTTTTATTATTTTGTTTATATTGTCATAATTAAAGTGACTTATTGGAAACGGCTCACTACATGGCGATTATAGCCTAAATAAAATCATCGGTTTGAATGATTATGATGACGTGAATCTGTCAGTAAAGTTTGATGTTTAGTGAAATAAATTGTGGAAGAGACATCGATATGTATCTGCAGGCTTCAATTCACCACTTCGCCGTCTGTGTCGCCAATTTCCTATGCCTCCAAAATGACCGTACGCCTGGGTCAGAGTTTGCTCACTGGTGCGCACATTTTACCGTCAGGTTTGTTTTTATAGATCACAAACTTTGCGTGGGAAAAGGCGTACGCCAGTTTCAGACCCCGTTTTGTGCGTAGGCCTACGCAACGGTTATAAATGAGACCCCAGCCCTTTGCTGCTTTATTACTTTGATGAGCTGAAGGGAATAACCTATTTTAAGGATGTTCTTTCATGTTGCCCATTTTGACAATTTTTAAACTTGTTGCACTTCTGTGTGTTTAATTTGACTGTAATGTAAAAGGAAAAGTTATTACACCATTATCAATCTTCCTGATGATATTTTAGATTAAACAGTTTTGACTCATATTGCTTTGTTAATTGGTCGTCCTGTCTCCTCAGTGTTAAAACTGTGGGTCTGTTCCCACGTCGGTGTTTGACGTGTGAGCTGAATAAAGCTCACTGTCTGTACTTTGATGCCGACATCAGCCCAACGAACCAGCACGTCATCCTCCACTGTAAAGGTAGGCCATCAGATACCCATTCTAAGGCTCATGCAGTGACATGAGAGTGTCATATCATTACAATAATACATTGATAAAGGTATTGCAATTTTTAACTTAAAATCAAAATAATCAGTAACATGTAATTAAAGGGTTGGCATTTTCCAGGAGAATACATAGCACAACACACTGCAGTAGGCTACATATTATATTACATCCACCCTTGCTTCCAACCGGGTTTTCGGCCCAGACACAGCCCGGTGGTCCCCTAAGGACCCCTGTCCTTAACACCTTACTTAGGGCTTTTGTGTAAATAAAAGATTCAAACATCCCTCTGAAAGGCACATCTTTTATTTAGTATTATATTGTACACTGTATTCTCTAACTATTCTCTAACATTTTAAAATCAGGGGATGTCATTTATTTCTGTTTTGCTTTTAATTTAGCATCATTTTTTATCTTTTTTAAATGTTTTTTACACTCCAGGCTGTATCAACTAGCACAGGTGTAAATAACACAACATGGAACAAACTGTAACTTGCATTACTGTCAGTTGAAATTAGATTATACTTTTTTTCTGGGATTTTTTTGTGGCTTAGTTTCTGTTGAACCAAACTGGTCCAAAACCGATGTAGGAACTGTACCGTTGAACGATTGGGAAATATTAACAAACATTTACTATAATAGCCAACACATGAGAATTTAAACAGGGTATAATTGTACCTACATTACAATATGCTACTGTCAGTCCTTCTGTGTTGTGTCGCAATGACAATAAGAGTTTGAAATGACGCCTTCTATATTGCTGAGGTGTAGAATGTTGCTTATTGTGACGTCACAGTCTCTTCTAAAATCTGTTCCGAAGACTGCAGCTTCTACCCTGTTGGTCTACTTCAGAGTTTGTGGGTTGTAGAGAGTGGTGAGAGATAGTCGTGAGTTATAGTTGTTAGAGAAGGTGTTGAATTCAAAGTGTTTAGAAAGTATTTTATCAGTGTTCTGTGGTGCGATCTCTTTCTGTATTGTATACGGAAACTGGTTGATATGGAGTTCACTGAGGAAAGTAGAGGAATCTACAAAGCAATCGAAGGCTTGTTCGACACACGATTTACGAACATGCCAAGCAGTTCTGCTGGCACTTTCAGGCCTTCAGAGGGAAAGTCGCAGTAGTGGCTGAACTTTTAAATCTTCAACGGAAGAACCAGCTCCCCTCTGAGGTGACTGTTGATGCCATCACTGACCTGCTGGTGAGAGAGCAGGAAGTCCCTGAGAGCGAAGCTCTGCCAGTATGAAATGGAGATTTTGCTGAAGAGGAGGTGAAGCCTCTGCTCAAGCTGGTGTGGGAGGTCAACACCAACATGCAGAAAAGAGATGTGGAGTTTCAGGCAAAGAGACTTCTTGACTCTCCAGAAGAAGAAAATCCCAAGATCCTCAACCTGGTGCACCAGTATGCCAGGGTCCTGGTGAAGCAGCTTTAGGAGGCTCCCTCTACCAAACTGCTGAGCCCAGCGGAGGTGGTACTGGACTTGGTGCCCAAAGTCCTGCAAGGCTTCTGGGTGCCAAAAAAAACCACACCCAGTGTCATGCCATCCCAGAAACTTAAGTGAAATGGCTGTTAACATCACCAAATCTGTTTTGGATGGAGTCTTTGCTTCACTGCCTATCATGTTACATCAGGTCACCTTCCCTAGTTCTTTGAGAGACAACATTGTCCTCTCCATCGAGGGGAAGGTGAGGCAAATGTACCCTTCTGATACTCTGAGAAGGAAGCTGCACAGCTTTGAAGCAGAGGTTTTGCAGATCATCACCAGGACGACAGTGGAGCACATCTGTATGTTTTTTGAGTCCCAGACTCAATCAGACATGTCCACTGACGTCACTTCTGTCCAGGGCTCATTGAATCTGTGCCAGTCTACTCAAAGCCGAGCTCCATCTGTATCCCTGCCAGCGGAAGCTTACATCACAGCTTCAGTGCTGGAGGGTGAACCAAACTCTGCTTCAACGCAGTGTCCACTACCTCATTTTACCCCGCCAGCTGAACCTCCTGTGATGGTTTCAGTCATGTGGAGTGATGATGCGTATGAGCAGCCAAACCAGAACCGGCCTAAACCAAATATGGTGCCTTCTCCACCACGTCTTACAGCTGATTGTGATAAACCTTCAACCTTCAGTCAGGATTTTCAAGAAGAACCAGACTCTGCTACAACAATGCAGTGACCACTACCTCCTGATGTCCCGCCAGCTGAACCTTCAGCCATGGTTTCAGTTCTTGGGGGTGTAGTTTGGAATTGGAAGCCCAGCCAAGAAACCGCTTCTTTGCCTGCTCCCCCACCAAATAAAACTGGTGCTGATGAAACCTCTGCTGTCACCCATGCCATGGAAGAAGAGCCTTCACCAGTCTCTCCTGAGGTCCAAACTGCACATACGCCTGTAACCCTGCAAGCTGAGCCTCTATACACAGTCTCAGGCCTGGGGGGTAAAGTGATAACAAAGCAGCCCAGCAGAATACTAGGTCTCCAGATCTCTCATGATGTGGTGCAGGCTGAGGTCCCTGAGGCTAGAATCGGAGGTTTCTTTGGATAGTTTGGGAAGGCGATCTAATGCTGCATCAAGCCTGAAAAAAGAGACTTGAGGATTCTTCAGTTTGACTATGACAGTCATTATTTAAGAAAATAAATGTTACTGTCAACATAAAAAATCATTGTTTAATTGCAGTTATTTTGCATCAATCAGTTTCATTTGAAGATGAAGAGATCCTCTCACAGGATCTATATGGTGATTTTAGTTCTTGATCCTTTATGACAGTGTAACTTGTAGGTTATGTCAGAGCTAGAGATGAAAGACAGCAGTTTAAAGCAGTATGTTTTAATGTAAACGTATTCAGACAGGCAGAAATAATGTCAGATTCACAGTAAAGATACATACAGTGGTTGTCCTGTAGCTCTTTGAGGTGCAAACAAATGGTTTGTTTGCAATGAAGTCCTTTCTGCGTCCAAAAATGATAATATTGGTAGGTTATTCTTGTTCATTTTTTGCATCCCTTCATTGTCCCTCTACTTTCACGTCACATCATTAATCACCCTGCTTTCATTCTGAGAAGACAAACTAAACACACTGGAGTGTGCAGTACATTCTTCCTTTGAGTTGGAAATATCTGTAAAATATAAAACAACGCATCTGTTGTGAAAGATTCTAATATGTTGGAAATTGTGAATTATTCTCTGGGTTATGTTCAAAATGTATTCGGCCATTTTCATTCAAGCTCATCTGGCAGATGTCCGAGTTTATGAGCTGCAGCCTGCAGCCTGTGGTTGTCTGGTGTTAACCTCCAAATATTTAGTTTAAATTCATTCATCATCATTTCCAAATGAGAGGCATTTAAATTAAAACCATTCACCTCTTTTGTGCATAATACATTTTAAGTACTGTTATTGGGCAATAACTAAGTAGTGTATTTGATGGAGGGTAATTCTTTACACTGTTTGTGGTTTTAATTTCTCCTGAGCATTAAGCGCCCTGTATGCATGGAAGAATTAGTGCTTTAGTGTGTTGAATTATTGCACAATTACACAACACCTCCGTCTCCATAAAGCAATCCAAATAAAAGGAGAAATCTTATTGTTGTCAGAGTCCCAAGTTCACACAACCTCGACAAGTTTATCCTGACATCTTTCCTCAGGAGCAACACGAGCGTTTTAACAAGCAGGTTGATGCACATAATGGCCCTCACTTATCAAACATACGTACGGCAGAAAAATGGGTGTACGGTCATTTCCACACAAAGTTCGGCACTTGTCAATTTGGACATGAGCGGAGGGTACGCTCAATTCCCACACCAGGTCTCAGTTCGTGTACGCACATTTTCAACTTAGTGTGGACTTGCAGTGCAGCAAATCTGTCTGTGTCAGAGAATAATTAGATCATACTATAACAGTGCTTGTTAAGATGGATAGATAGAGGTTCACAGATTTACTGTTAGATAAGATATCTCAAATGTATTTTATGTTACGCTCCACCTCAAACGATCTCTGCAGGCTATATTGCTTTTTAAATAATGTTGAGCAGTCCGAGCTGTCAGGTGATTTCTTTAGTTGTGTGTTTTATTTGATGATTTTTTTTTTTTTTAATCGATTTACTTTAAAGATTAAAGATTAGAGAGGCTGCTTTCAGTAAATACATGTTAAACGTTCATGCACACAGGAATATCGCTGCAGACAATACTGAGACAAATTAAAACAGTAAAACTAAACACTGTTACTTTAAAAGGACAGAAAAACTTCCTGAGGATACTAAATACAACTTTTAGCCTCTGAAATATGAAATATTTAGGAAAACAGAACATCAACATTAGATCATAACTAATCGGTATGTCCGGAGATTAAAATAATAAATATGCTGATGTGCCACATGCGTAATTGTGCACAGCAGACGCACATAGGCCAGAGACTACATGTGACATAATAACGAATAAAGAAATCTAGGGGGCTGTAAGACGGGATTGATAAGTGAGGGCCAATGAAACCATTTCTCTGTGTGACACATGCCGGTGTAGTGAGGAAATCAAAGGTCAAAGCTAATAGCTCAGCTACTAAGTAAAGTTGCCTATTACTGTAAGTCATTTCAAGGAGAGCTGACCTTTAATCAATAATGACACAGGTGAGGTAGAGAAGGTGTCTTCTGTGGAGCTGCTTTATGGACAGAATAACAGAGTTTCTTTGTTGTTTCTTCTGCATCTTTATAAAACAAACCTTTTAAAGAAATGTTCACTCACATACATGTTTCCCTTCCTGTAGGTCCCGGAGCACCGACTGTAATTTTACACAGCCTGAATAACTCCAGTAAGTACTCAACATGATGAAATGTAGACTTGTGTGAATGACGTGTTTGTGATGATCATCGCCGCATTTGCAAATTTAAACCAATTCCTCCAATCAGTAAGCCCACAGAGTTCAAACCTTTCTCCAACTCTTTTACACCACGCAGGGATATTTTAAAAAGACCCAAACTGATGGCAGACATGACATGAACAAAGAAGCTGTTTGCTTTGTTTTGTGTTGATTCTGGTCAACAGGGGGTGTGCAAATCTACATCAGTTCCCTGTTTTCATTCTCACACATGCCTGCAGTGCACACATGCTTCTTCTTGGCATCCATGCTCGTCTGCCTGTCGTTGTTTTTTTTTTTTGTTGTTTTTTTTTTTTTCATAAAGTTAACAGCTGTGCCGCAGAGAAGCAAGCAATTTGCCCGGGGTTATTTGGATAGGCCCTCCATCCACAGCTGGGAACTCAAGGCCCCTGGCGGTTTCATAATGAGACGTCTATTGATTCTGGGTTTTCCATTAGAAATGCTGGATGAATTCCATTTCATTTAGCTGCTTCTCAAATAGCTTGAATGGAAAAAAATGGCCAAAGCAGAAAGTCATTGTTTATTACATGTGGAGAAAAATAGCAGGGCTTCTGTTTTCCGGGCAAGAATGAATGTTCAGACTGCTGTGTTTAGAAAATGGTACCTTATGACTGTATTTAGAAAGAAATACATAAAAGGTTTATTCCATTCTCAGATCAGTAAATCTATCCTGCTTTTGTAAGGTATTTGATAAATGTATTTTTTTTTCATCAAACATAATTTACCATGGCCTTTTATTTCCTTCAGCAATCTTGAAAACCAGAAACGTCTCCTTTATATTTGCAACAGTTAAACCCCAAAGATCTAAAACCCAGGAATGTATTCAGTTTCTTAACTCTTTTCCACAAAGTCAGAAGCGATAGTCGAGAGTCAGATATGAGCCATCTTTTCTACGCTTTCAATCTCGTCTCATTTCTTTAATGGGGTCATTTGTATGCACTGATAATTGGATTATTGGCAGAAATTGCTGTCACTCTTTCATCCCTTAAACATATTCTCCTCCGCCGTTCAGATTACTACATCCTTCAGAACAACTCTTTACTGAAGGCGGCCCTGAAGTACAAACGGATCCAGCTGGCTGACTTCAGAACGGTTCCCATGGAGCACTTTGGTGAGGAGAAAGTTGTCATTATATTTCATGTAAATTACAGCTCCATGTGTGATACAGCTGTTTTTATTCTGTTCGTTTTATTTGACAGATTTACCTTTGAAGATCTCCTACCCTCCAGACTTCTCTGAATCCCGTCACTATGGACTTCTGTTGGTGCTGTACGTACAGTTTGAAATAACACATCAGCATTTTTACATTTTGTTAACGGTGCATGCTGCTGATTTTTTTCTTCTTCTTCTGGTATTAAAAGTTCCTACAGTCTGTCTTCAGCTAAGGGTACACTACTTCCTGTTTGGATGCAAACCTGCTTTTATTTTGAAAGAAAATAAAAACTTGTCGACTGAAGGTAACAATATTCATTTAATCACGGAAAAAAAGGAAATTGAAAAGATACGAAACAGATCAAAAAATAAATGAAATCAGCGAAAGAGGATGGCAATAAAGCTTATCTACGGTGTGCCTAAAGGGACAAAATAGCATACAATCAATACAATAAAAGTGTACTGGAAGATGCAGAGAAGGACGTGTTTGAAACACTTCAGTTGTGTGATTGTTCACAATGAGTCAGCAGGAAACACTTGTTCTCCCTCGCTGCTGAAAACACCTCTGATAGTTTCACATCTTCTTTCTTTTTCTGTTCAGTGACAGCGCCCCCGGTGGTCAGGCTGTGAGTGACCGTTTCTCTATCAGCTGGGACGCGGTGTTGGTCAGCTCGGACAACATCATCGTGGCTCGTCTGGACGGACGGGGCAGCGGCTTCCAGGGTCAGAGGATCCTGCACGAGGTCCACCAGAGACTGGGAACTGTTGATGTCCAGGACCAGATCGCTGCAGTGGAGTAGGTTTTCAGATTTACTTTATTTGACCGTAAACCATTTTAAACTTTCAGTAGAAAGCAAACGGCGTCCTTTTTAAAGGTCGTGCATTTCCAATGATTAAGAGCTTTATAACCTTCCTCTCCTGAAGCTTTCTGACATGTGCACTAATGAGCCTCATTAAAGTTTAGAACAACTTTTTGTTCCCACGAGAAAGATTAAAGTACAAAATCCTTCCCTTTGGTTCCTGCTCTGAAAAATTATACGAAAGTTCCTCATCATGTACCAAAAAGTCTGACTATTAAAGAGAGCTCATGAGTTTGAATTTGGACAGCGAGCAGAGGCTTCTGCCTCCAAAATATGAATTCATCAACGAAAACAATCTCACGCCAACGTCCATTTAGTTTCTTCTCTGGAGCTTTGAGTTCTGTGAGCTGTCTTTAGCTATTCTGCTCTCCAAAAGCTTACATCTTTACTTACATTATTTAGGAGATACAAACTGAATTGACTTTTTTTGAAATCTTTTATATCTTGTGAAAGGTCAGGTCGCGTCCCATGTACGGAAGCTAATAGTCCTCCAAGCAGGACAGCCCAGGTTCAAGTTCAACCCATGTCATTCCCCACTCTCTCTCTCTCTCTCTCTCTCTCTCTCTCTCTCTCTCTCTCTCTCTCTCTCTCTGTCTCCCCGACACCTTCTCTGTCCACTGTCCTTTCGAAAAGAGCGCTGTTGGCTTTTGTCCTGTATTCAAGTTTACATGCTGAGAAAGAATAAGTCAAAGGAGTCCGCACTTTGATCGTCCTGTTAACATGGTCAAGACTGAATTTTGATCCTGGTGTTTTTAACAGACTGTTCAGCGTAGAGTTAGTCGGGATGGATGTTATCAGAGGTAATAGTAGGTAAGAGTTTTACGGCGTACCGGTTGCCGCTGCTGCTTTCTCTCACTTTCTGATTGAAAAGTTTCTCTGCTTTTCTTCTTATTCCTTCGAGGTGCAAACACAGTCTGCTTCCATGCATCTCGTCAGTGTGGAGCCAGATTCTCCTTATTACATGTTTCCTGTGCTCTGAAGTCTGCAGGAAGGAAAATTAGTTTCCACGTTCCAGTTTCATATTTATTTTCATTTCCAGGCAAATTTCAGCAAATTTCATTTCAGCCTTTTTGCTCCTTTCTACAAGAGAGATTGCAGATATCAAACAAAAACATTACAATAACACTCTCTGATTTAATACAAAGATTTTGGTGAAATGTGATTTTTTTACTGAACCATTCATGCGGCGGATGTAGGTTGACCCTTTGTGTTTGATCGGCTTTCCTTCAAAAAGCATGTGACACATAATCATTCAAGTAAACGTTTAAGAGCCGCTCTTAAATGTCATGGAACAATTCACCGTCAGTCATTTGAGAAATGTTTTGGATTTTTCTTTTGTCAAAGACTTCTTTCACTCGTTATTTGGCTCTTTGAGATTTTCTTGAGTCGATGTTTGAGCCAGCTGGGTTTGTTCTCTTCTGCCTCACTAAACTACACCTGCTGGTTTACCTGCTTTAATTCTCCAACATAACTGAATCAATCAAATATCACTGTACTACCACGACAGTCTTGGGTGTCAGTTTCATTCAACCAAAGGAATTCACTTTTTCTCTTCCTCACCAGTAGGCCTACTACTTCTGGATAAAAGATTAAAGGAGATCTATGATGCTATTGTTGCAAAGTTGGACGTCCATACTAAACCTCGGCAGAGTTTTTTTAAACACAAGATACTCAGTAGTTGGTGTAATCCCTGGACGGGGTTTCCTGCTGCTCTGAACGAGGAATCACAAGAACTTTGGGAGACTTGGCCAGAACCTGACACTAGGTTCTGCTGACGGATTAGACCAAAGCATGCAGCCAAGTTGTTGAACATGCCTGCATTTGAGGACACACTGAAGTTGAATGTAAAGTAAACAAAGCTGTAATACTGTATGAAAAAAAAGGTCAACCAGAAATGTTTCCGTTTTCAGCTAACGATTGGTTGTGTTCAAACTAAGGTCTATTTTCTTTTGATGTATGAATGTGTTTGAACCCAGGGTTTATAATAAATTAGTTCTTATGTTTCCAGATACATGATGAAATTTCCATATATCGATCGGACAAGGATAGCAGTATTTGGAAAGGTAAGTCCAAAGTGTCTCTTTACATCAGTAGATTTCAAAGGAATTCAATCTGTAGGCCTTATTCTGTCTAAAGGTAGCAGGGCACTGCAGCATATACAGTACAATCCTTGTGTTTGTGTGCATGCAAGGTTTAATTAAAAAATACTTGTGCTCTTCAAAGTCACCAGACTCCATGTAGGAGTTCAGTCATTTGATCTTGTGGGGCAGGTGTTGTTCATAACTTTCAAAATGTGTCATTCTGATCCAACACAACGTTTATGTCTCAAACAATTGCATTTGAAAAAGGTCAATTTTCATGGAGATCCTTTCTGTAATGTTAGCAGACACATCCTAGATTACCATCTGACCGATGGTGAGTCCCTAAAATAAGAGCTTTCAGTGGACGTATTTTCATCCTGGCTTAAGCAAACTACAAGATGGATTCTAAAATAGGTCCCACCTTGAAAATAGCAGAATTACCCTTTTCACCACTGAAGGTGCATGACTGTTTTCCCTCCCTTTTTCTTCAGGGTTACGGAGCGTACTTAACCTTAATGATGCTCCGGTCTACCGACAGCCTCTTCAAATGTGCCTGTGCAATGTCACCAGTGACAGACTGGAAACTCTATGGTGAGTTCAGAAATCCCCCCCCCCCCCCCCGTAAATCCTGCATCGTGTTTGCACTGCACACTTCAGACTAAGACTATCCTCTTCACACCCGCCATCTGGTAAGCCGAGTAAGAGTTCAACATTCAAGTATCAGAAATTGTATCCCGTGTTTGCTGAGCGACGGAGAGTGGAAGATGGGATTTTGTTGTGCTTTTCGCCTCTCGTCCATAAAGAATCTGTTTACATCTGACAGAAAAGTGAGAGGAATCAACACTGTATCTATAAAGCAGAGTAGAGAGCATCCTTTACAGATTTAAGAGGGACGTGCTCAGTGAGAAAACATGTCATTTGAGCTCAGGATGACTTCTCTTTGTTCGAGTACTTAGCTGCAGCTGAAGCACTGTCTGTGGGCCGCTCTGTTAAAAATGCATCTCTTCTCATTTGCACAGCATCGGCGTTCTCGGAGAGATACCTCGGCATGCCATTACGGGATGACAGCAGATATCAGGTGTGTGTTTACTTCCTCCCCTCACTTGTTTGCCGTTGATCTTTGAAAGCTGTAACATCACCGACACACCTTCAGTTAAGCTCCCGCAGCCGCCAAACGCTGCTATCAAAGCCAGAGGTAGCGATGCTGTGCCTTTTCTTGCGTCTTCTCATGCTCTATAGGTTTTGTCACTCTTCTCTCTTTGGTAACTGTGTGCACCCGTGTGTCAGATAACACAGGAGGGTTTGTTATATATACACATACATATGTAAAAGATGCTGCTGTAAAAGAGAAAGGCTTACGTGACTCTCTCTCAGGCCTCCCATGCAGACATGATTGGAAACTATCAGAGGTGTTTTCATCAGTGAGGGAGAACAAAAGTTTTTTCTGCCGACACATCGTAAACAATCACACAACTAAAGTGTTTCAAACAAGTCATTCTGATTGATTGTACATCTTTTTCCACAACAACAGTGATATTTTAGACAAGACCCTGAACTGACTGGGAGATACATGAAAACTCTAATTGCATTTAATGACTCTCAGGGATTTGATTTATCTGCATTTGTTGGGATTTCTGGATTTTCCAACCTGACCTATATGAGTCATGCAAACAAAAAAACGAGATAAGAGGGTCAATAGTGGGGATGCGCTGTACAAGTAAGAGAATGAGGAGAAGCCTGCGAGCTAGGTCAGGCAGACAACTCGAGCTGTACTGATTTCATAATTCGTCATTATCCATAATCACCAGACAACACCTCCTTCAAATTGGCCGTCTATTTAAGCTGCAAGATTTACGGTCTCTCCCTCTGTTCTTTCCAGCTCTGACCTGCATCAGTAATGATTCTTGCCTAAGCCCCTCCACCACCCCAGCATTCCACCTGTAGGATCTGACTGGGGGGGGCCGGGGTTTAAGATATCATCCCATCACTCCTCCGATATCTGCACATAAATTAAATCTGTGAGGAGTGATGAGGTCGGAGCCTAGACGGCAAACACAAACTATGTTATGCTGCAATAAATATTTTAAATGATACAAACGTGAGTTGTCTGAGGTTTGGAGATAATGTTAGGCTGAAGTGTGAAGATATTTTTTTCCATTTTCACACCTCCATGAGGATGTTTGTTTGGGTTCAGCTCGGGCTCATCAATAGGAGAGTTAATGATGTAATTATGTGTCAGTTGCCCTTTGAAAGAGGTTACTTCTCCAAATAAAAAGACTAATAAGGACAGTAGAGTAAATCATCATCATATAATGATAAAGAACAAATCTTGAAGTGGTGCTCAATAATTCACCTGATGTCAGGAATTGAAGAGCGAGGTTCAACATTTCCTGGGGAAGGACTTCCAGACTTCCTGCTTATCGCCTCTCTTCTAAACTATAGGCTTAAGTTCATGGCACCGAATATGTTCTCACATTTATTGAACCGTTGTTGCCTTACATAAAGATGTAGTTTTACTTAAACGTAACTTGACTGCTTTATACATCTGCATTTCAAACATGTATGTACATTTTCCTGCCTCTTTTTGTCACATGTCTTGCCTGTGTCTGAGCGTGTCTTTTTGTGTGAAATGTAATTTCCAACTGTCTTTCATTGAAAATACGTTACCACCTTAATGTTAGTTAGCATATTTATCAACCTATTATCTCCCCACTATTTCTGATTTCCTCTCAGTTTTCCAGCGCGCTGCAGAACACTCAGGCTCTGAGGGAACAGACGCTGATGCTGGTGCACGGCACAGCTGACGGTGAGAGAAAATAAATTACTGTAGAATGAAAACGCTGTATCGCTGGTGCATCACCGCTAAGCATAAAAAGAGCATGAAATCCTGTGAGGTAATGAGGCAAACGGTTTTTAATCAAAAGATAAAAGGTAAAGTAGGTTATCTAAATGGATGCTGGGATTTCCAGAGGACAACATTCGCTGCTGAATCATGCATGTAGAATTTGTAGCGGTAATGCCATCCTGCCTCAATCTGATTGTCTGTTTTAGTCAGTTAGGGTTCAGGCTGAATCTTGCTGACTTGTTTCCTTTCTTTGTTTCCAGCCAACATCCACTTTCAGCACACTGCTGAGCTCGTCAAGAACCTTGTGAAAGTCGGAGCAAACTATTCCATGCAGGTTTGTACCACAGACAACAACAAGATGGAATATATATTATTAAATAGAGATTAAAAGTCTTATCTTTTATATTCTACTACACATACAAATTAAAAATACAAATGATAATTTGTTTTAGAAGAGTCAAAATGTACTGAACAGTAAAACAAGCTGATGAGTTCAGAGCAAGCGAAGACCTCGGGTGTCGTAAAATGAAGCCAATGTGGAAGTGCAAAATCCTGCAGTTCATCGAGTGTCCACTTGAGGCTGTTTTGGACAACGCATCAGTTTTGATTTGATGAAGGATAAGAGTTATTCACAATAAGGTGCGTAGCTGACCTGACTGACAGGTGAGCGCGATGTAACATTTTGTCTAGACTCCAGCTCTCAGCCTGTCGTTAGGTTGACTGAAAGTTAGGTTGAGACAGGATTTCCAGTATGGCGACCGCCATCAATGGGACTCCAAAGCCCCCTGCAGGAACAGACGGGTGAAGTCACTCAGGCTTCATCCATTCATATTTACAGTCTCTGGTTCAGAGTCAAATCTGCACAACAGATCGTGCGAGCACCGCTGCTGGGGTGTCACATGGGTTGGATTCATATAACAGATCAGCAAACAGAAATCATCACCACAGACAATCACAGGGAGGTTATTTTAATATGCTTTTCTATAAGCTGTGATAATGACAGATTTATTGTTATTGTAAAGCAGTCTTTAAATATAGTGTCTACAAAGTATGAGCTAAACATGAAACAACAATACAACAGGGATTAAAGACTACTATAGTATTGATGGGTAATAATGAGGTAGACAGAATCAACTGGACACTATTCAAGTTTAAAGGGAGCATCTCCTCATGAGGATGGAGCCACAACAAACCCCCTGTCCAATTATAACCGTGTGAGGAGGATATATATCATGAGCCTGAGGGTTGTCAGCAAATTGGAATTGACTGCATCCAAAGCAACTCGCTGCACATCATTCAACTGTCTCCAAAACATTAATTACATTCCCTCCCTTGCTCATTGCAAATTTGGATTTAGCAACGCTGCAATTATTTTGGACAACAATAACAGCTTGCTCCATTGAAAACAAAGAGCAGCAAATCAGTAATAACATGTTAATAAAAAATAACGCAAAGTCAACATGTTTAAGACAGCAGAGAGGTAGAGTTTACACAAAGAGATCATGGCTGGACACTCAAGAACAAGGAGCATCGTTTCACTGACTGGACAGTCAGTCTAAACCAGAAGACTTAGACTTATTTGGTTTCCTCAAGGCAACTTCAATTTAACTATCTACATGGCGCCTTTCATTCAAATACACAGCCTAAAGTACTTCATGTAGCAGAATACAAACTACACAAGGGAAGATCAGAACAGACGGAGATAACAGTATATATTTTTCCTAGTCTAAGGAAAAGTAAAATGATTTTCAAGAAATCAAACAATGAATCAGAGTAACTAAGGTCATGTTGACACTGAAAACAGAATTACTTTTGGTTTGCATTTTCTAAAAAGTTCCGACTCTTTTGATAACAACAACGGCACACAAGGATCCATAAAAACGACTAAAACGCTGCAGTAACATTCAAGGCCAGTGGTTGGCAGTGTGACTTTGTAATCAACCAACACGCACATGGCGTGTAGGTGGATTTAGGATTTGTCACATGTAAGTAACGCGTCTCCGCTGATAATGGAGGTGGTGCAGTAAATCTACACGTTGCTGGAGAAGCATTGTTGAATTTAATAGCGTAAACAGCACAATCAGAACTTGTGAGTCCGCCATTGTTGTTGTAGTCAACCATGAGCGTAATACACATGTGCGAAAAGCCTCCGTTTTCAGAGAAACTGCATGTTTCCAGTTTTATAGGGATGACAAAGACAATGGTGTTCTTAAAAGTTTGCATATTTCAGGCACCGAAAATGCTGTAAACGAACAGCCAGAACACAACAAAACATTCCAGTTTCCGCCTGAAATGGTTGTTGTATAAACAGGGCATAAAAAAAGATAACGATCAGGGACAATGTAAATGATAACTTGGCTCAAGTAGTGTAAGTCCTATGGATGTTAAGATTACTTTAGTCGACCTTGTATGTCTACAAACCTCCATCCACCTCATCATTTTCTTTCCTTTCTCTCAATAGATCTATCCAGACGAGGGCCATTTTCTGTCCCAGCAGAGCCGCCTGCACCTCTACTCCACGCTGACCAGCTTCTACAGGGATTGTCTGAAGGAGGAGTTATTACCACTGCCCGACGAAGAAGAGGAGGAGGAGGAGTAGGCGGGAGACTTGGAGGGTCAGACCTTTGGCACAGCTTGAAAAGTTTAGCTGAAATCCGTCAAGGCCTTTAGTGTTTGGACCAAGTGTTTAGCCGGACATTGACACTGGGTTAGAGCTGCTAATGCTCTCCAAGTGTGTGTGCCTGTGTGTGTGCCTGTGTGTGTGTGTGTGTGTGTGTGTGTGTATGTATGTATGTATGAGCGTGTGACTGTGTATAAATGTGAGATAACTGACGGACACAACAGAGAGACTTGCCGGGACTGGAGCTGGGAGCTGCCCTCTAGCATAAAGTCATTTCAGTTTTGGGACGCTCCATTTCTCAGCAGAGCGTGTGGAGGACTGCCTCCATCTTCTCTCTGCAGACTTCTTCAAGTTGTCGTCATCAACACTTTTACCAAGTGCATGGTTCTTTTTTCCCCCCCTCTCGGCTTCACTCATTTTGCCATGTTAGTCTCCTTTGGGAAGAAAAGAACACAGAAGTACACGTTTGCTCTCACCTCTCCTTTGGTTGTTGTATCGTCGCACAAGGAGAACCTGCAAAAAAAAGTCTAGTCACCGAGTTCACCACAACCGATCCTGAAAAAGTGCTATCCTGCTGAAACCTCCCCGCCATTACCCACCTTAAATGAAAACCGTCTTTTTAGAGGTCACACTTTATTGTACAGGGGTCTTGTGTAGACATGTACAATGCCTTATGAGGTGCAACATACTGTAATATTACCTGCTGGCAGTGGTAGTCATCCATTAGCGGTGTCATGCTAACCTTTGTCAACTCAGGTTGTCGAGACACAACATTGCAGTCAGTTAAGTATCTGAAACACTACGTCAGCTGTCTGCTTAGGTTAAGTTATGAATTCTCTGTGGAGGTAAAGAATCTGATGCAACATTTAGTAGTTTCCTTAAAAGACAAAGAGAAATCTCAAATAACGGTGTGAGACGATCTTTCAGTGCATCTCCACCTCATTCATGAAGTGAAGAGACGTGTTCCTTATTTCTGGATATTCTCTTGTTTCATGAAAAGAGTATGTACATGCAATGGATGTTTAAAGGGATAGTTCAGATTTTCTAAAGTGGGGTTGTATGAGAAACTTGTAAAAAGACAGTATATAACCGACAGTAGATGGTCAGCACGGCCCTGTTTAGAAAAGTCCGCTGTAGCACCATTATCGAAAGCTTTGCCATTTACCGCTATGGACGAGGTGTTGATCTCGTCAATGCAGTGTAGCAAATCAAAGCAACCACACCACACAATTTCAATATCAGTCTGAGTGTTAACTATATAATTGATATTTCCAGATCATCACCATTGCCTTTGGGCAGCCCTCTCCTTTGACTCTTAAGGCCCTAACACACCAAGCAGACGGCAAAAACAACTAATGTCGACAAATGCTGACTGTGGGGTTGCCTCATGTCGCCTTTGTCTTGGCCAAAAAGTTGCACTAGAACACACCGCAAAGACTGCAGCCGATGGCCAACCACCACGTACGCTCTGTGCATGTGTGAGAGGAAATAACTCTCCATGCCAGCATGCAGCGGGAGTCCGTTGTTATGATACGAGAAGACCATTTTCACACAGCTGTCGCTCACCACTCATATTATAGGTAGCTTACTAATGGAGAATAATGTCTGATAAAAAGTTTAAAATGCCGCTGGCGTTGTCAGCCCTTGGTCTTTTAGTGGAAAAAGAAAAGGAAGAGGCGGAGGCAACAAATAAGGAGAAACCGCACTAATGGGTGAAAGCATGGATACTACAGCGGCATGCTCAAGGGGCTTTCCTGAACCTGTGTCAAGAGCTGGCAATAAATGAAACCTGCAAATAGCCAACCAGAGAGATTCCTCTCATCGACCGAGGTGATGCAGGCCGAAGTCGATTCAACATAAAGTGAGAAAAAACATTCAAAACGTATTGAAACTTTAAGTGAGGGAGTTTGGAACATGGTTCAGCTTTCCAGTCAATGCTGAGGCTGGATCTAAACTGGGGCCGTCAAGTCTGCTCATCTTCTCTATATACTATGTGTTAACAAGTACATCATAAAAACCCGCTTAAAATAAGATCTGAACTTTCCTTTCGATGGATGGGTATACTGAGATCCACAGCTTCACAGTGTCAGTAAGGTGTTTGCATGTCTACAGGGAATGTGTCAAGTGTTGCCACATTTTGTACAGTACAATACAGCAGAGTGTGTACATAAATATATTTTTGAGATGTCACATCTCATAGATAGTTTAGTCTATGGGGATGGATTGATTTGACCTGGATGTCTTGTACTTGATTTGATTGTTTTTCCTTTCAGCTGTTGATTTTCTTAGGATGGATTTTGTAATGCTTGTTCTTGTTCCTTTTTGCTGTTTTAAAGGGAAAGGGGCAGGGTTGAGGTTTTGGGGTTATTGTGATTGTCCTCTAGTGATGATTATAAATAATTAAAAAAAGTATGAAAAACCAATAAGTGAATAAGTGATGCTGATTTACAGAGCAGACATTACAGCAGAAGAAGACAAATCATACACATTTTGTTTGCAGGGTGGTTTGTTTTGCAGACGATGAATGATCCAATTATCCGAAGGCTTTGATGTAATGCTTCATTTGTTTTGTCGCCACAGGCGTCACATTAAAGAGTCGAGGTCTGCTGTCAAGGCCTGAGGACACCGAAATTAGAGATTCAGCCAAAAAGATCTGTCCATTTAGAGCATGCAGTAACCTGCAGGGCTGACAGATGAAGCCAATAAAAGAGTGCCAAAAATGGCAGTTCCTCGAGTGGCCACTTGAGGCTGGCTCCAAATGAGAGCCAAGTCCCATTGAACAACATGAGGAAATAGCATGATGACAACAACAGCTGAAAATGCTTGGTAATTCTCTAAAGGTAACTTGTACAAGTCTTGTGAAAAGCCTAAAGAGCCAGTGCAATGCAGATGTGCAGCTTTAATCTGCAGAGGTCAATTTAAAAGGTGCAGCCTTGCTTCGAAGGCAGCATCATTGTTGATTAAATGGTTAATTAAGTTTTTATTTTCCAAACTTCTGACAGTACGATTAGTGTTTATGATAAGTACAAAGCTATATTTGCTAGCTTTTTAGTTTAGCCTAGCAGAAAGACTGGGGACGGAGTAAACAGCCAACCCATTTATGTCTGTATTTAACAAGCTATGCAGCACCTCCTAAAGCTTCAACATTACTGTGTTTCATCATATTTGTTCATCCAAAGGTAAAAACAAAAACATGTTCCTGTACTCTGCATTATGTTCAAAACTATTTCTCTGCAAGGTGTAGGTACTTTGAAGTTGCCAGGCAACCAGCGGACACCCCTGGAAGTCACAACTGCAAAGACATGTTCTTCATAATGTACGCAAGTGGTAATTTCAGGAAGCATGTATTTAGATTCTGAATCAAATTCATCTGCTAAATTTGCCTGCAGACACTTGGAATGTGTCTCAGGTTTTCAGATGAATTTGTAAAAACGTTCTCCCTTCTGTGTAGTTTGCAGATGTTTGAAGATAATCCTTGACTGACATCACCCGTCTCTTTTTTCCTTTGAAGCTCAGTCTGAACCTGAAGCAGCCGGATAAGCTCACACCTGTTCAGATATGCCGGGTTGATACGACTGAATCTTCTGTTGTGCCCAAACGCTGCTTAGCTCTGTTTGAGAAATGCTGTGTTTACTCACCACGGTCCAAAGCACAAACACAAGACAATCTATTTGTCACTGTCTGTCAGTTTGCAGTCCGTTAGACATCTTGAAGTTTGAGAAAACTAATGTCTGTCTAGTATCTGTTCTAAAATCACATAATGATCATAATGATCGACTTCATGGAGCTATGTAGTGAATTTGACACTTTCTTTAAAATAAACTATTGTGCATTATCTGAACAAAAATGCTGCAGCAGTCTGTGGCTTTGACTTGACATTGACTCAGTGTTGTACATCACTTGTGCACCATCAGCACTTTTAAATATTGTATTTGAGCTTACATGAAATCTCTTCATTGTTTTGTCCTCTAAACACAAAAGAAAAACACGACACGGGTGCAAGGTTCTCTAGTTTAGCAATTTATTCCAGTTTATAAATGTTCCCGAGTATATAAATGTCCACTGTTGACATGATAACTTTAATGCACAGTCTATACATAAGACAGAATCATTTTCAGTTTGACAGAATACACAGCAGGTGCAGGAGTGTGAGCAGCAAAGGACCATGGTCTAAATGTTCTGGTTTGTTATATCCTATTCAAAGAAGGTAATGGTGATGATCAGACAGATCAGTGCTACTGTAGTTCTGCTACGGATAAAGCACGCTGTACAGAAGAGGTTCATATTATTATAACAAGCTGATTCTCTCCATTTTCACATTTCTGGGATGATAAACTCTACGTGAAAAATTCAGCTGTAATAAACATTCAGAAGAACAACTGTGTACGAGACAAAGTATTAACCTTTGAGACTTCATCACGAGAGTCAGAGAACAGTCAGTATGACTGCACTGAAGGGACATCACGGTTTAGATTTTAAAGTACATTTATCTTCTAAAACACAGTTTTGATCACTGTGAAGTCTAAGAGCCCGTCTCCACCTAGCGTTTTTTTCTGAGTGCCAGCGTCTTTTTTGTAGTAGCTAGCATTTGCAGCAGAAAGCAACCGCCTAGAGAAGAAGCACAGCTCCCAGTGTCTTTTTTTCAAAGCGCTCAGCCTTTTCTGTGCTGCTGCTCTGAGCACTCAAGTTGAAAATCTTTATACTTTTCAGAAAGGCGCTGTTGACGTCACCTGCGATGATCTAAAATAGAAAACTTACAGTACAAAGTAATGGAGCAGTGTTGGTCATACAGCAGCTGTTGTCATAGAGACAGAACAGACTTGCAGCGCTTTTCTGCCCTTAAAAAAAGCTAGGTGGATACAGGGCCTTAGCATACATTTTACAAGAAGGTTACACAAGTTTGGATGATTAAAATGGTCTTTCTTCGAACTCAAAAATAATTTCTGATCAACTCATATAGAGTATTTAGTTTTATTTATATTGGATTATAACATAACAGGGGAGCTAGTTATGAAAACATTTTCCGTTCTTCATGGTAATTTATCTTATCAATCGCTGGAGTAAACAGATGTGGCCTGGCATGGAAACTGACATTTTGAACAATTAGATGGATATTGGATGTATTACTCGCCAGGTCACACTCATATTGATCCCAAGGGGCTTCATTTTTTGATAAAAGTTCATTCATATTCAGTGTCCGAGTAATTCAGAAATACATGTGTTAAAAACATTGAGTAGCTTACAAACAAGAACTTCTACCGGTTAATTTGGCATACTTTAAATAGTGCATATTTACCTAAATTGACAGGCCTAAATATTGCTGTTAGCATGCTATTGTATATCAGATTAGCACAAACATTGTCAACATTTCAAAAAGGTAAATAGAACATTTTGTATTTTGATTATTTTTTTTTTATGTAAAAGTTCAACTTTATCATGGACAATGGTCCACATAGGAATTAAGATAAAGGTACGTTATTGTGGCTGATTATTATGACTGAAGTGGGGATGAAAAAATACCAACATCTATGCTCCATGCATGATTTAAGTAACCGGCCGGCGCGGGTAAACTATAGTTATAGCACCTCAACTAGAGACAGATCTTTGTCTAAATGGGGCTTAAATCTCACACAGTGGTTTACCAGAATCTGCATGTGACCTAAACTACTGTATGGCAACTGTTTTTCAGTCCCATGTTCATGCAAGATGAGGAATAAGTTAATCACTAATAAAATGGCGATAATTTGGTAATCCTCTATGCAGACGATACCATATCTTCCATATCTAATACGAGGTCTATGAACACTGTGTTGGCTCTGAGTTGAGTGACGATGAGGTAAAGGCACCTGCCAAAAGTGTTTTGTGAAATGACTTTTCAAAATTGTATTTTAAAGTTAAATCTTTTTTTAGCTGTAAAAAGGAAAGAAAAATAGATTCACAGTAGTTTACAGCAGTCACAAACATTATACTCTATAAATTGGAAAAATACTAGTTTCTGTAATTCCCTGACGTTTGACACAGTCGACAAAGTCTCAAGACAGTTTATGACACAATGTTTAAAAAAGGTGGAACGTACGAAAATGTCTATATTTAACACATACTTCCCTTTTTCATTGCAGTTAGCAATGATCATAAACGATTGGTATTCCATAATTCTATTGAGAAATACTTTTCATTTCAATTAGAACAAAAACCATTGTGGGGTCTTGGCAAAAAACTTAAGCAATTTCTAGGCTTTCTTTCTAAAAGCTCTTTCTCTTTCACCCAGAACGCTTCTGTTCATATCGTATGAGAAAGCCCAACGTAACTGTGACAGTTTTTCTAGCCCCCCAGAAAATATTTTTTTCTGAAATTAAAACTCTTAGCAAGATTAAAATGTGGTTTCTGTGGTTTAAAAGAAGTCAAATCACATGTGATTCAAAACCTCGACTTGAAGTACATTGAAATACTAAAGTTTCAGTCTGACA